TATTCCGGAAAACATTTAGCAGAACTCTAACTTAATTGGTAATAGCTACACGTATATGTTTGTAACCTTTATCATTGATTTGGTCACGTCATAAATATTTTATCGGTATATTAAGTATTTAATAGAAGGAAAACGCGCAACACTCACCGTGTGAGAAACATTGAGCAAAATGGACCAGACGAATATCGCGCATCTCGTATCATACGATACATCGCATCAGGAACGGTGCAATGGTTATCACACTGGACTTATACATCCATCAATTTAAATCTTCCAGGCGATGCGGCAGTTGCAACGGGCAGCAGCACAGTTAGTCGACCGGCAAGTCACGTGCGGTAGCCGATGGGGGGGAGAGAATAAGTTATGGGTAAGGCCACCTCTTCCGAGACGTCTGCCTATCGTGGAAGAGTAGACCAAATGCCCCGCACGGGGGTAGAAATCGCGGTGGAGAGATGTTGTCTGCCTCGCCTGGTATGCAGCAGGCCGTGGGTTCGATCTCGACCCTGATGCCTGCTCAATATTTGGAGTTTGCGTGTTGCTCTCCGCGTGGTCGCGTGGATTTTTCTCCGGGTTTTCCCCTCCACATTCATCAGTAGTTGGCTGCTCTTCATTTCCACGTGATCAGCCACTTCGTTGAGCTATCATTTGTGGCCAGGTCGCCTCCGAAAAAAACCTAATAGGTCAGTGGGCCTTACCTTGGTATGAAAAAAATTTGTATAGGTGAGTTTTTGTTAAGTACATGCAACCCTTATAACCTGGGTTTTCACGATCGAGCAGTATTCACACATCGTCAACTCAAACAGCTCTGTCTTGCATTCCCTACTAAACTGGTCAAATCTGTGAAGAGTCTCTCTCTGCGATCCTCCAGTGGAGGCCGTTCTGCCAGCAGGGGCGTGTGAGCAGCATTCTGCAGCGCATCTTTATCTCTGTTGCTTCTTCTCCCGGTTGTACTGCCGCCGTGATGGCGTGTCGCGGCAATGGTGTTTGCATTCAATACGGCCGGAGGCACGGGGAGGTCACGAGGGCCCTCGGACACAATGAGTCACCCTGCTGGAAGAATACCGGCGGCCACGATCAATGGGACGCTTGCAGAATGAGCCGTGCATCGACAAACCTCCCTCCACTGCTCCTGGAGGGAATCATTCCTCACGCCGTTATGTGCATGTAATCGACGGTGCGTGTGCATGCGTTCATATTGCTGTAGGCGGGCATGGGAGTGCATTATTATTATTACCATTGATCATGTTTCGAATCCATGTTCACACTAAATATGCCTGATTGGGTCAAGGCGACAGAGTTTGGCACATAACTAGAAATAGCCGTACGATGGCAATGCTTTGGAAGTTAGCGCTCAGTAATTTGTACTGGTAGGAACCTCCTGGTTACACCAGCCCACAGGGGATTATTGTGTCCGTCGTGCAGGGAGGGGCTGGGTGGGGAGGGAGGGGCTGGGTGGGGAGGGGAGGGTGGGGAGGGGAGGGTGGGGAGGGGCTGGGTGGGGAGGGTGGGGCTGGGTGGGGAGGGTGGGTAGGGGCTGGGTGGGGAGGGACTGGTTGGGGAGGGGCTGGGTGGGCAGGGTGGGGTGGAAAGGGGTGTGGAGGGGCCGGGTGGGGTGGGGAGGGGATGGTTGGGGAGAGGAGGGGCTGGTGGGGAGGGTGGGGAGGGGCTGGGTGCGGAGGGTGGGGAAGGGCTGGCTGGGGAGGGTGGGGCTGGGTGGGGGAAGGGTGAGGAGGGGCTGGGTGGGGAGGGTGGGGGAAGGGTGAGGAGGGGCTGGGTGGGGAGGGTGGGGCTGGGTGGGGAGGGGCTGGGTGGGGTGGGGAGGGGAGGTGCTGGGTGGGGTGGGGAGGGGATGGGTGGGGAGGGGCTGGTCACCCCGTAGTGTCCTTATAAAACTCAACGTTTAACCTACTAACGCCGGCTTGTGCCCGCCCTCACAGTCGGGCATATTTGCGGAATACACCACGCCGCCGTTGACCCTGGTCATTGACCGAGCAACCCAACGTTCCTAGCAGCTCCCTCCGCAGGAATGTGTTAATATTGGCGTCCACGTCATCACGCGAGGAGCTCCGATCGTGATTGGCATCATTCGCGCGATTCCGCACGCAATATCCTCTGGTGTTGATGCCCTGCAGACTCGTAATTTGACCACTGGTTAACTTTGAAATGCGACCGTTGTGAATGGGTGCAAAAAAACGACCCAATGTTAATTGTGCCACATCCCAGGTACTCTCGAGACGAAACAACAACTAAGGAACCGCGTTGACAGGCAAGCACAAGCATGAGAAGGAGAATGTCCTATTAGGTAGAGGTGCAGCCCTGCAATGGCTTGTTCGTAGCACTGCTGGTGGAAGGGTCTTCACTAGGTGGAGCTCTATAGAGCCCCTCTAGAGGGTCTTTGGCCTACTCTTCTACGCTGGTCAGACGCCACCACACGCGGACCTGACGATGGACGCAACTCACTCTGCTGGGTAGACAGCGGGGGCAGAGGGAAGGACACAATGGACCGGTACCATTTTTTTAAACTTTCGCGCTCAGAGATGGAGCGGGTGACCTCTGGATTGATATTCCGGGCGAGCTCACCGTTGCTCCACTATGCTCGTGTAAATGCATGTTCCTGTAACCAATGCGGCGGTAATGGTGAATGTGGCGAGTGGTTTACGTGGTCTATTTCTTGAGATGCGTGTAAATCTCTTCACTGGACATCTGCAACAACCCCACTGGACATCTTTGGGGGGGGGGGGGAAATGAGCTTTTTAACTCATCGGAATCCTCCACCCGAAACAAAGATTCCGAGAGAGATAACGGTTTGAGGCCCCACAGACGCACCTCAGACCACCTAGAGTCCGGCTGATGGAGATTGCAGCGCCAGCAAGAGGAGAGACAATGGAGAACGGTTCCCCATTGTTATATATACTTACTTTTTTTTAAAAAGGTCACCGATTTGAGCTGAAATTATATTACCTTCGATTACGCGGGACGGACACCACCACTGTGAGGAGGAGGACGCGGAGGAGGATGAAGAGGAGGAGGACGAGGAGAAAAAAAAATCGACGCGACCACGGGGAGACCATACAAACTCCAAATATACAGCAGGCGTCAGGTTCGGGATCGAACCCACGACCTCTTGCATAGCAGGCGAGGTTGTTAACATCTCACCATCATGGCTCCCCATCGTAGAGCCATGTGTGTGGTGGCTTCCCACACACATGGCTCAACTGCCCCCCCCTTTTCCCTTCCCCCCATGCGAGAGGAGCTGGAGTCGGGCCTGGGTGCGGGAGAGTGAGCGAGAACTAAAACTCAAACCGGTCGTCACGATGAGCGGCTTGCAGCACGCCGAGGGGAAAACTGGAGGAGCTTGAGACAAATCGACGCGACCACGGGGAGAGAGACACGTAAACTCCAAATATACAGCAGCAGGCGTCAGGGACGGTATCGAACCCACGACCTCCTGCATACTCCGGCGCCCATCTCATTTGTATTAAGCTAAAGCTTGGTTTGTATCATTGTGTTCACTCCATCAGCTTACACGCGAAAAATTACAGATTAAATAGCTTATCCTTTGTACATGTGCTGCCCTACAATTTATTAAGCCATTGTTGGCGGGATGTCCTCCACCAACCAAAGAGAGCTCTGGAGAGAATTCCAGTCTATATGGTATTTTTTGCCTACTCTTCCATGCTGGCCAGAAGTCTTGTAAGAGGTGTGATTACCGACATTCTACCGCGGCCTGCCGATCGACTAACTGTAAATCTTCCATCATTGGTGCGAACCAAAAATAATTGATTTTTTTGCACGATTCGATGTGAATGAATGCATCATCACCTGCATAGTTGATAATCAAAATGGATTTCGATTTAAAGCTTTCGTGACTGCAGGGATTCATCTTCTTGAAATAAAAAATATTTTTTTTTATTTCCATTCTACGTGACTTTACCGAAAGAACCAAGAAGAATCAACATGGAATATTACAACTTCATATTCAACTTGAGCTTTTCAATAGTGCATCATCAGCATCATCATCATCACCGTGAGCCATGATCTACCCACTGCTGGATGCCATCGCCATCTCCCTTGGTCTTGCATTGCTACAATCCGGAAAGCACGCGACTCAATTGCCCCCCCCCCCCCCCATCTCCACAATCGGCATCGTCTCACTTCTTTGGCTGGCACTCAGCCGTCAGTCTTGACAAACAGCTATTATCCCTGCTGAAGCCCACGTTCTTAACAGTCAAAATTATGTCTCGCGTACATGCCACGTGCCCCTGCTATATAAAAAAAAAAACAAAGATGACAGTAAAAGCTGTGGCTGGCAATAAGTTGGGGAATGGAAACTTTTTTTTACATTTCATGGGTGAATAATGCGCACTCCGTTCGAAGCAAATGGGAACGGCTGCGTGGTGCCTGCAATGTAACATCGCTTGGCTTGGCAGGCGACGCACAGTGGCTGCGCGATTCGCAAAGCCCATGATCGTGCGTTGCTCATGAACCACAAGCAGTGCAATACCCTCGCGAAAAGAATGGGAGTGGAACTTACCCCTTAGGTGGCACGCAGCTTTGGGAATAGGCCTTCATTCGGCAGCGGATTGCCCACGACTGATGATGCTGATGCTGCTGCTGCTGCTGATGATGACAATTATATGAAGAAAGAACGAGTTACAAACTGATGTGCAGCCCATTCAGTCGTGCGGTCAACAGATATCGGAGGGCGCACTGTGTGAATTGTGTTCGCGCTGTTGCCCCTTTGGGATGTTTCTCCCCCCCCCCAACCTCGTCTCGTTTATTTTTCCTCCTCGGTCGCTAGGGGAGAAATTGGTTGTCGACGATATTTCGGAAGGACCACGGGGGAAGCGCCGTTTACGAAATCGATCGCGGCTGCACGAGAATATGGGCCCGCCCCACGTGACACGGAGGCCATTGCGACGTACACACGCGCTCTCGTTTATTGTTAGACGAACAACGAACACGTGGCGCATTCCAACAGTCGTTCAAGAAAGAAGCGGGTGGTTTTTTTTTCCAGATCAATGTGAATCATTTTAGCAATTCAACCAAAATATATAAATATATATTGACGTGGCAAACGACAACAGAATGCCCGTGCACATCTCTTGACAAACGCACTTGCCAGAGATGCCCAAAGGTACAACAACAGTTGCAAAACACTGAATGTTTGTTTCCTGGAACACCTATGCTTGATCGTGGGTGTGTACGCACACACATACACAACAACAACAACAACCGCCATTCGCCACTAAGTGGCGGTGACGTCACCATGACGCTTGTGCACCTTGAGGCCACGTGAAGTGTCGAACGCCCGCACACACACACATACACACACACACGCCCAACCAATAAATCCACGAACAGCCAATTCAAAACAAATTATAGAAAGTGTCCCTCAGCTGAAGCAGATCTGTGAAAGCACTTATTTTCCATCGGACGACTTTGAAGATTTGCAACCTCCGAAAGTGAAAGACGGGCGCGTTTTAACGTTTGCCTTTGCCGATGGGCCATCGGTGCCTTCACGGAAATGTTTTTCTTTTTTTCTTTCACGTCGCACACACACAGAGAGAGGGGGGGGGGGTGGCGATCAGAGGGGCGATGAATTGCGACTGCTGGACTCTTCGCCAGCGTCCGTGCATGAGAGACAGTGGCGTCGCGACTCTTTTTGGCTGCCTATCGCGCACAAAGATCGTGGGGGGTCACCGCATCGCAGCGCGTTTGCAGCCGCGCTTCTGCGGCCGTCTGGAACGCTCTTCCTTCCGATATTCGGAAGCCACTGTGGAGCTACGCACTTTCAAATCTTCTAGCTTTGAAACTCGTTTCTTTAGAGCCGCTTTTAGCGTTTAGTTCGCTGTGCTTTCCCCGCAAACTCCAATTATCACGGTTGGCTACGTACGGTGCGAAAGAAGTTCAACGTGCAGTAACATACATCCCGAGGTCCTTCGACTGTCTCTGAGCTTGATATTCAGAAGAGAAGCACAAGAACACAAAAAAGCTCAAAACAGTCGTCAATAACACTGCCCTAATAGGGGGGAAACATCCCGAAAGATAAATAACCGGCCGTGTTCCAGGCAATGGATTTTCTTCACAGCAGAGACGTGAAGCAGGGATCATTGCTCGCAACTTCACCGATTATGTATCGTCCCCTGTTATACATATTGACGAATGTGTTGATTTTTTGTTCTTTCGTATCAATATCGGGAGACTTACATAAGCCGCTCTCACGGCTTGCACAATCACACGCAGTGCAGCCCGGTGGTGGTGTTGCTTCTTCTTCTGTTTCTTCACCTGGGGTGCACGTGATCCCTGGGGGTGCGAGATGCCCTTTCTGGGGGTGCGAGACGTGGCCAGGTTTTGTTTTAGAGGGTAAATAATCGAAGCACGTACGTAAAACTACTTTGTTTCATCAGACCCTATGTGTATATTAACATTATATAATGTTTTTTTCTTTTTACGATTGAAGAATCACTGGTCCAGCCGAACGGATCTCGCTCCCTCGTTATCTCGCTCTGCCGCGCCATCTCAAGCGAGGCTCCCCCCCCCTCCTCCCCGTGAGTGGGAATCTTTATTTAGACCGCAGGAATCCGATGAGCTACTGAAGCTCCCCCTCTTCTCTGACCGTCCAGCGGGACGCTAACGTCCGCCCAGCCGGCGCTCAGCACCCGACAACCGCGACTCCGTGTGGATTTCCATCGCGCACCGATACGCGAGCGCATCTCAACGCGCGGTGCGGAAACAGCGGGGGGGGGGGGGTGCGTTCGGTTCAAGAACGGAGGCGGTAGGGCACAGGCAGAGGAATTTAAAGAGACGTCTTGAACCTAGACTTGAACAGAGGTAGGTTCAGGAGCTGACAATCATGGATGGCTGCGGGGGTGGGAGAGGGAAGATACGGCCGATTGGGGTAGCAGAAGAGAAGGAGTGACCTCCGTTGGATCATCTGCGCTGCTGGGAGATGGACACAATTAACTGCGGGGAGGATGCTGAGAGAAGGCGACAAGAGACGAGAAAGTCAGCGGAGAGATGACTTTAATGCGTTCAGAGGCCACCACTGGGCAGGAGGAACCTAGGAACGGAAGGCTTTGGAGATAATGGGGGACGCCGTTGTTGCAGGCAGGCGGAAGTTACAGGATGGTAGCAAACAATAGCTGCTGACTAGGATCAAGACCTTCCCTCTCCTCCTCTGCCTTTGAGCGCCTCTCCCGTCACGCCACGCCGAGGACGCGGGCGTGTCAGATTTGCACCACGATGGATCTGCCACTTCACAGAAACCCTTAAATGCGCAAGCACAGTGGTGAAACACCGAAGCAGAGATGGCATCTGTTAGATGTGTACTTGGCCAATGCACAGTTAACAAACGCGGCAATTCTAATACAAGTAATCTCCAATATGCACACACGAAAGTAATGTCACATGCATAATAACTCTACCGATAATTCATTTCATCAACAGATCGTAAAGGAAATGTGTTGACATTTGTGCTTGAAGCATGACCATTCACAATACGGCAGATGCAGCATCTTGTTCCAAGCAGGCAATAACGTGGTTATACGGGCACACGGGAACTTAAGTATAACAATTATAATCCTGTGTATTTTCTGTAGCGTTATTCTCCGCAGCAAACTCACAGGGCTTGTGGATAGGCAGGGAACGGTGGGGGAAGTGACGGCCGATATCAAAACGGGTCCAGCTAACCCACGTGTTTTCGGGTCGTACCACGTGTCGTTCGGCACGATGTCCGACGTTTCGCTCCACGTCCTGGGGGCTTCTTCAGGAACCTAATTGAATAGTTCACGTTCCACCTTGATGTACTGTATATCGTATTCGCTGCTGCTGCTGTTGTTGGTTCCTGATGCTAATCAGCTCAGCTCTCTGTCTGCATCAGGGCGCCACGGTGGCTTGGATATGTTAACTACCTCGCCTGGTATACAGGAGGTCGTGGGTTCCATCCCGACCCTGACGCCTGGTGTATATTTGGAGTTTGCGTGTCTCTCTCTTGCTCTCCCCGTGGTCGCGTCGATTTTTATCCGTGTCCTCTGGTGTTTAACCTCCACAATTAGAATCAACGTGCGTTTAGAGTATTTGGCTGCTATAAATGTCCACGTGGTAAGGCATCTCGTTGAGCTCTCATTTGTGACTGCCTGGTCGCTTCTGAAAAAAAGACCTATAAGGCTCAGTGGGCCTAACCTTGTAAAATAACAAAACAAAGTTTAACTAACTTTTTGTATTTTAGTTTATCTGGGAGCCAACTGCGATACCAACAACAGCAGCAGCCAGCGACGCTATATTATTATGGGAGAACGTGAGCTGCTCAGTCCATTTCCTGATGAAGGTCCTAAGCACGTGGAGCGAAACGTCGGACAAACTCTCCGACGTGTTTTGTTTTCCGGTCGTACCGCACGATGTTTCGGCCGAGATGTCCGACCCGACAACACTTGGGGAGAGTTACACAGCACAAACCACGAAACCCCTACACAGTCGTGTGAATACAGCTGTGTTGTGTGTACTTTGGGGAGCGGTAGTGTCGTGGTTATCCCACTGAGCGACGAACCCGGCGACCCGAGTTCGATTTCAAGCTCACAGCCGCCAACACCTAATGGCAATTATCTGAACCGGTCCTGGGCCTCACCGAGGTCAACCCAGCTTCAACAGAGTACCTGGTGCGGTGTGTAAATATCGCCACTGGGGATACAAAGACGGTTATGTGTGGTGCAGGCCACCAACCCCATCGTGTTGCAGCGCCAGTTAACCGATAAGAGCTAACTCACTTTTATACTATTCCATGCCCCAAATTTGTATATATATAAATAGTATGCTCTTTCCATTACATTAAACTTAAAAGTAATTACAAAAAGGGCATTTGCATTTATATTTGACTATGTACAAACGATATTTTTTCTTTATAAAACAAAGCAATGCGTTTCCGACGGGAAAAATATAATTAAGGTGCCAATTGAGAAATCAGAGCAATTTGTTAAACAACTAAATTACCAAAGTGGGAATGGTTGATGAAACATTACTAGCCTGTTGCTAACTTGCATTATTAAAATCTATTGTCATTTTGATCAGGACGTTTCTTTTCATATTCTCTACATATTGCGTGGTGGGCCAATATAGCTTGATAAATGGTGTCATAGAAATTTGGAGAGCAATTTTAAAAGTAAGGAAAATTAGTAATTGGTACCTATTATATGGTGACGACATAGTAGACTTGAATTAATATTTGATTTTCATACAAGTTCTGCAATTGTCTACGTTTTGTTTAGCAAATGAAATATACTTTCTACTACATAACGAATGCTTAAATGACAAATATGCATCAATAATGTATTATACATGTTTACGTCTTAACTTTGTTGATTAAAATGAGCAAAAAAAAGTACACGTGTTATCTGGGGAATTTGCATGAATATGCAACGTTTTTAGGCATGTTCCTGGCAATTAATATCTGGCCTTCAATTATAGCGAGAACAAAGCACATTTGGCTGAGTAATGAACGGTGTAAATTACTATTTTGGCAGTGCATCATAAACATTCCTAGCACGGACCAGGGGATGGCCGATTGCAAGATGTGCAATATTTCTTAGGATTTGAGTCGACTACGTTTAGGGATTGATTTCGTAACGTCTCTCCAGACGACATCGAGAATCGATTCTTCTGGGAAGGGCTCCAACATCTCCGCGACCATGTAGCAAAGCGCCGCTGTTTGTGAGCGTCGTTCGTGCGAAATACAGCACAGCGTCGCATATCCGACTCGGCTGATGTAGGCGAGTTTGTTACAAGGCCAGATACGTGAGCATCTATCCAGAAGTAGGTTACTGGACACACCTAAAAGCGTCAAACACAGGACCATGCTTCTATGTGTGTGAAAATGTCAGATGTGTGAATTTCTGTAGATAAATGACAGATGAAGCACATATAGTCCCCTGGGTGTGGACAGCTCATTGGTCCATGCGAATATGTCACGTGATGGTCGTTTTTGATCGTTATTTTCCTTTGACAGACATCGAAAAATATACCTTTAAGTATAGCTAATTCGGTTATAATGCATTAGGTACTTAAAGCATACCTTTAAAATGCTACACCAATGTGCCAAGGACAAGCCGCGATGGTTAAACACCACAGGTGCCTTCAATGGGCAGAGCGCTCCAGAGAGCGCATTTCTAATTGGACACCAACAACAACCAGAGCGCATCGTCGTAACGAGAAGCTTACAACGGTCTGAGGAGCCGCCTCGATGAGCGTTCACGCGGAGCATGTCAAAATCTAGCCAATCGGAGGCCACCGTTCCCTTCCCGCGAAACTTCTCGGCTCGCGGACGCAAGGCGCCGCACTCATTGGCTGACCCGTGTGCGTGACGTCACAACGCTGTCAATGAAGGGCTTCACATCCGCCTCGCCAATGGCACGACGTTCACGACACAATAACCACATTCATATATTGAGCATATGTCGTTATTTAGACAACAGTAGAAAAAACACCAATATTGTTAATGCCAACTGTTTATCAGCATACACGTTATCTACATGCCCTGTTCCCCTTTACAAAAGCATTCTCTTAATCGAGATGAGGATGAAAATGCCCGCGGTTTGATTCTGGAATTATTTTTCAGTCAAATATTCACGAGTATTCTTAAGCATGAAATAACGAGTCATCTTTACCGCTTCCTTCGCCGCACAGTACAACAGCACCCTCGAAATTCTCGAATAGGAACGTTCTGTAAATCGTGATTAAGATGGCAATCGATCTAACGACACGTGGTGGCGGTGTGCTCGCAGTGTAAACTATTCAACTATTTAAACTTGTTTTCGCCAGGTAAGGTCCACTGAGCTGTGTATAGCTCTTTTTCAGAAGCGACCTGGCCACATATGATAGCTCAGTGAAGTGGCTAATCACGTGAACAATTTTTAGCAGCCAAATACTCTCAACACATGTTTCTAAATGTGGAGGGAAAAACCGGAGGACCATGAGAAAAATCCACGCGACCACAGGGAGATATGATGTGAAAACTCCAAATATACAGGTGTCAGGTCTGGGTTGAAACCTACGACCTCCTGTATACCAGGCAAGGTAGTTAACATCTGGCCACCGTAAGGCACGGCACCCAACATGTCGTCCTTGCATGTCACGTGACCACCACGTTGCACGTACAATGATCTCAGCCTTGCACGCAGTTGCCTGCTGCTGCGATGATGATGGCCTTGTCATTTACAGAAAGTGTTGGAATTGATTTAAAACAAAAACACGTCGATCAAATGTGTAAATGACTAGGAAGTCCCATGTGCAATAAACAACAACAATAATAACAAGGCCGCAAAAATCGTAATCACCATCGATATACATTTTTAGCAAATTTGAACAACTGACAGTTGCTGTGATGCAGCGTTCGGGGACCACAATGCACGGATTCAGGAAATGCCGATGTTTTTTTTAGTGCATACGCACAATGGCTGTGCGCATTTCACACATTTTTTTACGTCTTGTTCGGAACTTAAAAAGCAGCGCCGAGTGGGCGGCGGGGAGGATGGGGGGGGGGGTGCGGAACGTCAAGACCATGATCCAGGGATGAGATTTTCTCAATACTACCATGGTTTTGTGGGAAATCAACAGCGGGGTCAGTTGTTTACAAACATGACCGGTATTTGGCACGAGGACAAGAGTGAACGAGGCCAACAATAGGCGTGTGGCAGCGCTGCAAGTCGTTTTACATCCATCAGAACACACAAAATCCTCAACGCCCGTGTGAAATGTGCATACCTAGCAAAAGCAATCAACATGGAACGGTAGTCTCAGACACATATATAAATATATGCAACCCACCGCAAATAAACCCAACATCCGTAGACACATTCTACGATCCTATGGCAGTATATATTGGAGTATGCATTCAAGTGCATTGAAAGAGGAAACACACGGATCACGTGAATGGGATGGAGCAGGACGTGTCGCTCATGAGGATGATGGGTCAAGATGAATAACGGAGTGGCAGCCGATAATGAATTAAAATGCGTCCGAAGAGGGCATCTGCCAAGGAGATGGAGCCTTGGGTTCAGCTTGTCTGCAGATAACAGAGCATTTTAACAAATGCAACCTTAATAACAAAAACGTATGCCTCTGTTAAATGGAAAAAATAATAATAAAAAATTAAACCGACAGTGGAGCATACTCACACATCAAAAATAATCCACTGGTCGCGAATGCCGCTTTATTATAGTCTGGGCATGAGTGGTGACGCCGTGGTTAGCGCACTACTTTATGAACCCAGAAATCGGAGTTTGATTCCCAACCGTGGTTAGTAAAATCTGAATTGGTCCTGGGCAACCAACCTTCAGCCTCACTGACCAGCGTGATGAAACAACTCCCATGAGCGACACTTGCGTGGGCTGGCCTTCATCCAGCAGCGGATGGACGAAGGGCGGTAACTGTCTGACGCTTCACATTTGTGAGGATATATACCACGAATATTTTGCTGCGTCAGTGGTAAATGTGAACGTGTTTTTAGCGTGTTGTCACCCGCCCGGTGTGTATATATATTACTGTCATTGCCGTGGACGGGTATTAGCGCTCTTCACGTTGCCCGCGAATGTTCACTCTCGTTCACAGTGAACGCTTACACCATCGTACAACGCGATTGCGTAACCTGCATCTGTAGAGCAGTGGCCGCAGACACGTGGCGTATTTAAAAACGACACGAATGTGGATTCATTCCCATCGCAACCAAAAAAGTAAAAAAAAAATATTTTTGCCGTTGCCACGGTTATTTTTTGTTTTTTTGTAAAAAAATCCCGGCGGTGCGTGGGGCTGCTACAAATGCACGCGGAAGGGTCCCGCAGGTTGGGAGAGAGAGGGCCCTCTGATTAATAGGCTTGCCACTCGACGGTGACGTTATGATTTATTGTACAGGCGCTTATTGTACGGCGCGCGTATCGTCCGTCGTTACAAAATACCGTTACGCTGCGCTTCGCGTTTTTTATTTGTCTCAAGCAATGAATTTGCTGCTGAAATATTTAAGGCAATAACAAAATCAACAAATAATATTGTGAACAAAACTCTTTAGTATTACCCATTATAAATTAGAGTACCGGACAGGATGGAAGTTACATGCCATCATTTGTGTTTCAATCATTTTTTGCATTATTGGCAGCATGTGCGTTATAAGCATTATAGATGGCATCGATTTAAAAGACTGACAGAAAGCTGATGTTGAGTGAAAAGCAGTTGAAAACCTTTAAATAATCTTACTCGTGCAGCAAACCACGAAAATAATAACATTTCAATCAGATTTACAATTATAAAGTGATAGTTGTCAAACCGTGTTATTGAGATATTGTATCATGCTGCTGAAATGATATCGTGGTGACCCTGCTGATGGTCCCAAGTTCCAACAGCCCTTTTGTGTTTTGGGCAGCCTCAAGGTTTATCCAGGAGTGTGCCACCTGTCAGAGCAAAGCATCGTCAAGGTCACGAGCATTTCCGTAACGACGACTTCGCCGGATTTTCACGGTTTCGCCGTGCAGCTCTGCCACGTGTTTTCGGTGTCTGAAAAATCTGCCAGCTCGTGGAACGAAACGTCGGACATCATGGTGCGACCCGAAATCACTGTGGAGAGCCGTACGGCGCAACCGTGAACACCTACTCGGTAGTTTTAAGATGTTTTACCTCTAGCGGCAACCGTCGCAAGTTATGCATCGGCAAAACACGGCACCTCGTTCAATCTACGGAAACGCATAGGTCAGCGAAGTACGACTAACGGCGATCACCGTATGGAAATAAAAAAAAACTGTTCCAGTTGAAAATGTCAACCTTGCTGCTCGCGACGCTGCGGAGCAGACGCGATCAAGCACGAGTGCAGCATCCACTCCCACTCACGGAGTCAAATTAAATCCCAAGGTCCTGCCCGACACAGTGGATCGACGTGCATGGAGCCAAAAGTTTCAAAGTGCCCACAGTGCCAACTATTCAAACCCGAAGAAGCTCCCAGCAAATGGGAGCGAAACGACGGACACCGTGCCGAACGACGCGCGGAGCGACCCTCAAACAGACATCGGGAGGACACAACCGCAAACAGCGACCGTCGGACAAACCATACAACGCTCATCGGTTTCCCACCACGAGAGGAGGGTGCTCTTAAAAAAGTACACGACGACACTCAATCCGTCTAATCGCTAATAATAACAATCGTAATAACTGTGCCGATGGGAACAATCGTTGCTCAGTGAAGACACGGTAACGTGTTCTTTATCCTTCTCCTAAACGAGTCGCGAGGGAGCCACCGTCGCTGGCTCATGGCCGCTGCCTCCCTCCTGTCCGTGGCGCTCAGAAGGAATCAGCGGCAGCTCCCGGGGGGGAGGGGGGGGCGAAGCGACCAATCATTCGCTCCGTTTAAAGCACCTCCGTCAAAACCCGCTGGCTTTATTCCATGCACTTAGATCGATTGGGTTTTTTTTTCTCTTACACGACTTGGAAACTTAAAAAGAGCAAGTGGTGAAGGTGCAGCTGTTGGCGCTGCTGGTGGAAGGGACTCACCACCAGTGGGATCTCTGGATGGCCCACCCTCACTCGAGGCTACTTTGGCCTACTCTTTCACATTGGCCAGATGTCGTTAGGAGAGGTGTGCGCAGCCACACTTTACCACACCACCAGACAAGACTTGCCGATCCACTAACTGTTGGTATTATAATATTTATTTATACTGCAGGAATCCGATGAGAGGAATCCGATGAGCGACAAAGCTTTTCTGCACAGATGACCAGTAGGGTTGACGGAGGTGACGGAGGAGATTAAGAAACTTGCCTCATTATTTCCGAGGAATAGAATTGAGCCGGCGGACCGAAGGATTGCGAGTGCAACCACGACCTCGTGGCAGCGCCAGGTGGTGGGCGAAAATATACACAGCCCCCTACACAGAGGGCCATTACTTTTTTTTTTATAGATTTTAAGTGATAATTTTAATAAGTAGGCGGCCAAGACGGCCGAACAAATCGCTCAACTGCGATGCTCACAGCCCACCGTGCTGGCGCGCGTCGGGTTAGAGCCAAGTCACAAAAAAGTGAATCACAAAGCGAACATCGCCAAATTGGCAAAAGGGAATCACCGCGCTCCATTGCCAGCGCAAGCAGCAGCAGCCACAACGACGTGCATCATCGGCGTCGTCGGCATCATCGGCGTCATCATCATCATCGTCGCCGTCATCATCATCATCATCGTCGCCGTCATCATCATCATCATCGTCGGCATCATCGTCGTCAGCAGTGCTCACTCAGCGCGCTCGCAGGGGCCGTGTCGGCACTTCGATCGTGCTCGTTGTTGACAAAGCGTTCGAATCAGATTGCCGCTCGATATTTGTTTCTTATTCTGAGATCTAGAACGAAAAGTGTGCGCGATCCAGATAGGCGGCCGCTATGTGCCCCCTGTCAAATCTTCACGATCGCGGCCGAGGGGCGAGATGGGGGTGCCATTGGTAACAGTCCCATGTTTTCAAGCTGCTTTGGAAACTCGGTAGGACATCGCCGGGGCTCAAGCAAAGCGGCCGTGCATTGATTTCGTGTCACCCGCGGCCACGGCAGTCCACCTGACCGCCACCACCACCGCCGTTGACGGCCATGCGGCGGTGGATGGCGACTCCGTCGCACGTGGTCATTCCTCGCTGGCTTTAGAGTGACCGGCGGTGTCACAAGCACGGCAGGAACACAGGCCCATCGCGTCAGACGTGACGCCCAAGCCGTCGCGGCCAGTTGTACACTTCAACTCGTTTGTGGAGCGCCTTGACGCAGTCCGTTGGGGGCGTTCCGTCAGTCGAGGTCTTTAGGGCGATTCTGAAAAGACGTCAATCTTCTCTTGCGTATCCGCCTTGGGCGGGGTTGTTTTTCTCTCAGTTTTAACGTTAAAAGTTGTTTTTCTTTTTACTCGGATTGTGTTGTAAAGCACGCTGAGGCCTTGTGTGAATGGCGCTATATATATGTAAAAACTCGAGTTTTACTTACTTACAAATCTTGAAGGTTCCTCGCTCGGAGCGCTCGTCGTTTGTCACGGGAAACGGCGGAGAGGGCAGATCCGATGCGGGCGGCGCACGTGAAGAGCCGTGCAGGAGCAGGAGCTCACGGCGGCATTGTGGCGCGTGGCAAACATTCGTGACGGATTCGACGTTGAACTGAAGCGGCATTTGAGTCGGTCTCTTTGAGAGAAGCGTCACCCTTATCGATCGCGGGAGATTTCAAAGAGCTCGCGACTGCGGTTTGAAAGGAGGGTGTGGGGAAGTAATTGGCGGGTTAATATGCGAAGCGATGTTTCCATTCTTGAAGTGCATCGTCAGTCATGGAGCCGCGTTTGAGACTTTGATTAATTACGTTGTTCGCCTGATGGGAAAAGGAGGAATAATTTGTGCAGCTCCGCTTCGTGTCCTCCTCCTCCTCCTCCTCCTCCAGGCTCCCTTGCGACCCCCCCTCCCCCCCCGGCCTTTAACCTCTTCGCAATTCTCAATCGCACGACCCCGCTAGCCGCCTCTGATTTCAAATCAATCGCCGCGATCTCCACCTTTGTCCCTCGTAATTTTGTAAATAGCGCGAGCGCGACCCTTCAGCACAGCCCCATGTGCTGTTGGTAAAAAGAAAAATCCATACATGGCTGATGAATTGTGGAGGGGGGGGGGGGGGAGGGCAAAGCCGAGGGAGACAAGTGGTGAAAGATTTAAAAAGAGAGGAGAGGAAGGGAGGTGCTGGGATGGTTCTTAGGTGAGAGCCACTGAGCTGGTATCCGATTAGATTCTAGATTTAAATCCAGGTTTGCAGACGCCGTCATTAGACCGGGTTCTCAAGGTTCTAGTGAGTTGATGGTCTCAGCCGGGTCACTGACAACTCGCTCGTAAAATTTTGATACCACAGAAAGAAAGAAAGACATCTTCTTGTCACGCGATGATCGTTACAGTCATTTGCAGCGTGGGCGCGAAAGTGCCGACCCTCTAACACGTGAACCAGAGGTCAGCTCGAACGGATCTCAGAGAAATTTCCGTGATATCTGCTTCCGCGGGGCCATTTCCCAACACGGAGGATCTCGCCGCTCCGCCAGAGATCTGAACGGTTTCTTGATCTCACGTTCTGACGGCCACAGCACAACTGAAAGCAATGAAAGCACGCCACGTTAGAGCACGCAAGCGGAGTGACGCTGCCCCTGTGCGCTCCGGGCAGCCCCGCCACCATCACCACCACCGCCGCTGGCACTCGAGGGCACCGCCCCGGGGCCGGGAACGCCGGGCCCAGGCCGCTCCGGCCCTGCCGGCAGGGGGGACAGCTCCACGACTAGTCAGGTCTGCGCCGTGCTCTGCTCCTCCTGCGGGGACGGCGGCTGGCGGCGCGCCAGGCTCATGACGCGCGTCGTGGTGCCGATCTTGAGCTTGCACAGCGGCGGCACGGAGCAGAACTCGCGGAAGCAGCGCTTGAAGTTCTCGTCGAGGAAGGCGTAGAGCACGGGGTTGAGGCAGCTGTTGGCGTAGCCGAGCGCGATGCAGAAGTGCCAGCTGGCGCGCACCGTCGGCGAGTCCGCGATGGACACGAGCGCACGCAGGATCACGTAGATGTGGATGGGCGTCCAGCACACGATGAAGACGGCCACGACGATGAGCACCATGCGCGTGATGCGGCGCAGGTTGCGGTCCTTCTCCTTGGAGCCCGACAGCATCCGCACGCTGCGCAGCCGCAGGATCATGAGGCCGTAGCACACGGTGATGATGCACACGGGCACGATGTAGGCGAAGACGAACACGCAGATCTTCAGCAGGTTGTCCCAGTACCAGTGCGGGCGCGGGAACTGGACGACGCAGTCGAGGTCGCCTGCGACGACGGGAGGGAGGGAGGAAGGAAGGAAGAGAGGGAGGGACAAAACAAATCTCACGGAATTGTAACCGATGATGTTCGTAATGGACTTCTTGCCTTGGGAATCTGAGATGATTAAACGAGTGCGTGTGCATGTGTGTGTGACAAGGAGGCTGATTGGCGATGAAATGGTTCTGCGTCGTATATCAAAGCGCCCGTTGTTGACCGCGTGAAAAGCCACCGGCTGCGTAAATTTGCGGCGAGAAATGAAACATGTGGCGACAGACTGAGTAGAATCAAACAAAAGAATTTGCAAGGTGAAATGCGGCCAGCGCCTCCAACCCAATCCCATTCTTAGACAGGGGTCACCGGGGTTTGAGAATAAAACACGGGATGTGGGCGGCTGGCTCGGGAAGAGTTCGAGGTTCGAGTTGCCAACCGCTGAGATCCTGGATTCCTATTCGGGCATCCGTCCGGTTGTTGCAATCGAGTTCTCAAGTCCAGTGAGTTGATTGCGTCACAGCCCGATCAGCAATGACTTCCAAAATAAATAAAAATCCATCCCATTCAAATTGGTTCTGCACTTACTTTGGCTAAATTCCAGCTCTGAAGATATTAAATATCGCCTCTGACTATCATGCAATGGAATTTACCATCAGTGGCAACGTGGGTGGGAACATTCCACCCCTTACGATGTGGACTGGAGGTATTTTCATTGGATGTCAGAATTAGTTGTGATATATTCACTTCTGTGGGCTGCGGTCTGACATGAAGGGTTGCTCTGCTCTGCAAGAAATTCAGTTGGATGCTTTGTCTCATGATATGACGTTGATAGCACAATTGGAAAATTGGGCAAAAGATATATATTCCTTAAAGAAGACAAATATGTTGGCTTTGACTCATGTAAAGCACCGTCGCACAGGCCAGACAGCAGTTGAAGAGCCATGCTTCACTTTGTGATATATTTAATTCCTTGGGCAGTATTTTATTTAACTGATATATCTCAACTGTCAAGACGATGTAAATTATTCCTGTAACAGGATCATATTTTAACCACTCCCGTGAAATATGTTCAACAGTAGAGATAAAATAAACTGTAGAATAGTGATCTCTAATTTACATATCCTTACATTTCACAACTATTTTTTTTTACACTTCTTTTCCATCAGTCATGATTTTATTGCACACTATAGGACTTTCAGCGTAAGTTTCATGCAGGAATTATTTAATATTTTTCACTTCCACTGGAGCATTCCAATTGAGGCCAGGCAGTTACCAAGAGATGTTCACATTGTGTGTGCCCAGAAACGCAAGCTTCTGCATGAAACACGACCTTAAGTACAAGGTCGTATTTAAATACAAGGTTATATTCAAGGTCATGTCTCTTAGAGTTATCTTCGCTTGATACAGTAATTTTGCTGTGACTGTTCCACCTGAAGACGGAAGCTTGTGTTGCCTCCGAAACGTCGTGATTTAATATATTTCTTTTTTTTTTATTTGAAGCTTTCGTGACTGCAAGGATTCATATTCTTAGGTTTTTTCCGGTAAAGTCACGTAGGCAAAACATTTAAATTATTAAAAGTAAAATAAAATAAAAATCACGACGTTTCAGAGGCTTTTGTTGCCTCCGAAACGTCGTGATTTTCATTTTATTTTACTTTAATTAATTTTAATGTTTTACCTACGTGACTTTACCGAAAAAACCTAAGAATATAATTATTTGTTTTCTTTTTACCTACGTGACTTTACCGAAAAAACTAAAGAGTATGGATCCTTGCAGTCACGAAAACTTCAAATCTAGAATTAATCCGCCTAGAACATCCGATTAATACGGTTGGCTACGTACGGTGCAAAAGAAGTTCAACATGCAGACTACTTCCTCTATGACGTGCTCCGTTTCTTGGCTGCCACTCCACGTGTTAATCTGGACCGTGGACCATCTGTCCTCTGTAGTCATGATGCCTCCTGTCCAAGGCCACTTACTTTTCTTCGTCGTTTAAGGGACGTCATTTAACCTGCACAATATCTCACAATCCATCATCTTCCCTCTCTCTGTCTCTCAATGCAATTCCGAAAGTACATCGCTCCGTGCGCTTGATTGAAGATAAGATTACAGAAAGCCCGCACGGGTCACCAGTCGTCTACTGGGAGATTACTCACGATCGCGGAATAGCAAAGGATCCGTTACCTACCTCGGGTCTTAGTGCGAGATGGGAATTTGTCAGTGAATAGTGGGGGTGTGGAAGCACAAATACATCACTGCTTCACCCAAAACTTGTGTGTGTGTGTGAAAAGTACAAAGACCCTCCCTCGAGTCTCAATGACTACAGGAGTAAGTGCTTCTTATCCAGCATGTCAAGTCTGCCACGTGAAGTCTGCTATGAAGGTTGCCACGGTTGTGAGATGTTAGATACATCGCCTGGTATGCAGTAGCGCGTGGGTTCGATCCCGACCCTGACGCCTGCTGCATATCTGGAGTTTGCGTGTTTCCCCTCGTGGTTGCGTGGATTTTGTCTCCGGGTCCTCCGGTTTGTCCCCTCCACAATTTAGAATCAACACACGTTTAGAGTGTTTGGCTGCTATAAATGTCCACACGATAAGCCACTTCGTTGAGCTATCATTTGTGACAGCCAGACCGCCTCTGACAAAGAGCTATAACACAGCTCAGATGGGCCTTACCTGATAAGTAAAATAAAACAAAAAAAAAATCGATTTAAAGCTTTCGTGACTGCAGGGATTCATCTTCTTGGTTCTTTCGTTAAAGTCACGTAGAATGGAAATAATAAAATAATAAAAATAAAACATAATAAAATAATTCTCACAACGTTTCGGCCACAACGCAAGCAGCCGTCCTCAGGTGAAGAACAGGTCTGGCCGATCAGTGGACTTCAGTTCTCTCACGAGTCTGAATGAGATAGAGTCTGAATGAGACTCTGTCTTCTCGACAGACCTGTTCTTCACCTGAGGACGGCTGCTTGCGTTGTGGCCGAAACGTCGTGAGAATTATTTTATTATGTTTCATTTTTATTATTTTATTATTTTCATTCTACGTGACTTTACCGAAAGAACCAAGAAGAAAAAAAAAAGTTAAAAAAAATCCACAGATTTCCCACCTTTCTTGTTGTACTGCGTGCCCGCCATGATGATGACCGGCAGCCCCACGGTGGAGGAGAGCAGCCAGATGCACACGTTGATGAGCTTGGCGTTGCGCGGCGTGCGGAAGTCCAGGGCCCTGACCGGGTGGCACACGGCGATGTAGCGGTCCACGCTCATCATGGTGAGCGTCAGGATGCTGGTGAACATGTTGTAGTAGTCGATGGAGATGACGAGCTTGCACAGGATCTGGCCGAAGGGCCACGTGTCCAGCATGTAGTTGGTGCTCTGGAAGGGCATGGTGCTGGTGGCGAGGGCGTCTGCCAGCGCCAGGTTGAAGATGTAGATGTTGGTAGCGGTCTTCATCTTGGTGTACCTGCGAAGACGGTCACGTGGGGGGGGGGGGGGGGGGGGGCGAGAGTGATTTTTCCAAGTCGTGAAGACGCGTGCATTGTTGTTGTTGTTGTTTGAGTGTTTTTTGCAATCAAATAAGGTGAAGAGGTAAAGGTGCAGCCCTGCTATTGCCAGCTTATGCCACTGCCTCGCCAAAGGGCCTCCACTAAGAGAGAGTTTCTATAGACACCCCCCACCCCCTCCAGACGCCATTTTTGGCCTACTCTTCCATGCTGGCCTAGACGCCGTGGAAGGGATGGAAGCACCACACACTTTACCCCACCGCTCGCGACCTGCCGATCCTATAACCGTGGCGTGCCCATCGATGCCGCCGGGCGTTCAGAGGCGACGGAGAGGGGAGGGGAAAAGGAGGAGTTTAAGAGACGTTACATCGTCGTTTTAGCTGCCGCGCCCGGAGATTGAATCGAACCTCCCGACCTCTGGGTGGCAAGTTCGTTCGTTAATCCTCTTCATCCCCTATGGGACACAAGGCTGCTCTGGATTGCAAGCGCAGTGTGCTAACCACTGCATGACGGAAGAATCCCTTGGTCTTGAATGTAATTTGCCTGTTATTTGTACAATGCTGGGCAGTGTGCAAAGACCATTTTGCATAAATTGTCTCCTCACGGACCACACCAGAGCGTGATCCTGTTATTAGTTTTTCTTTCTGTTCGTAGCGTGTGCCAGTCTTTGTGGAACGATGACGTTTTCAAAAGCTTCTGCGAGTGAAGAATGAACCCCGAATGCGTTCGATGAATGGAAAAAAATCACGAACGGCTGATATTCCACGGACCCTGATGGACCGTACTTCACCACTCTGGACCGTACTTCGCCATGGCGGTCAGTGTGGGGGTTGGCGAATGTACGGGACAATCCGGGACCGGTTCACATACGTCACTCGGGCAAGCGGGTTTCAAAGCGCGGCGCGATGACAACGCTTCGCCCCCACAAGCCACGATACAACGCGATATGAAAACGTTGGGAGGACAATGAATGTGCGACACACTGTCACGTGGGAAAATAAATGAAGATCGGCCATTGTGTGCAGGCTGGGCAGCCTGTTCCTTCCTCTCTCGAGGTCATCTGCTGAACGAATACATTACAAGGTCGCGCTCATTGCACACAGAGTGCTTTCCACTAATGAACCACAATGCCTCGCTGATCTAGTCTATGAGCATAAGCCACCATCACGCGAACTCCGCTCGTCCTCGCAGCAGCGGATTTTGACGAACCTTTGAACAAAGGCGTTTACTGCATTTCTCGCTTTCAGATGTACTTCTGCGGCCGTCTGGAACGCTCTTTCTTCCGATATTAGGGGAAGCTACTGGAGCTACGTGCTTTTAAATCTAAATTGAAAACTCATTTATTTAGGACTGCTCTGTGTGTTTAGTTTGTTGTCCTTCGATTGGCACGGTTGGACACGTGCGGTGCGAAAGAAGTTCACCGTGCGTACGTACGTCTGCTGCTTTTGAATCCTCAGTGGGACGTTGCGTTTGATGGAGAACGTCAATGCTTATTATGCCACCGCTGGAGCAAAGGCACATACATTTGCAGGTGCGGTAGAACCCCTCTGAACCCCGGTTATTGGTTTCACGAAACCGGTCGTTAAGTGATTTGGTCATTAAGCGAGTATAGGAAATACACGTTAAAGGCTTAATTCGTTCTGATAGCATCGGGAGTTACCTTGTTCCACCGGAAAAGCGTACTTCATGATATTTAAAACAATGGACATTAATACATACTCTTTGGTTCTTTCGGTAAAGTCACGTAGGTATAAAATAAACTAAATTAAATCACGACGTTTCGATTGCAACACAAGCAATCATCATCAAGTGAGAAACCCACAGCAAGTTTTTTTTTCAAATCTAGAATGGATAGTAATACATAAACATACTAGCAATATTATAAACACATACTATTAAAAAAAACATGGTTGATCCATGCATTAATTCATGTTTACTGTAGCTACAACAGCCCATCGTTAACAGGGGAATGTCGGCAAGGGAACACATTGGGCTCTATGGAGGCACTACACTATACACTACACGATACACTACACTATACACTACACGATACACTACACGATACACTACACTATACACAACACTATAGACTACAGATTGGGCTCTATGGAGGCCTGCCGTTAAGCGATGAGTCGTTAATAGGGGTGGTCGGTAGGAGGGGTTCTACTGTACACACTTCAGAAGATATCAACAAAAACGAAAAGGAAAACGTGATGCATTTCACGGAGTGCATTTCTGACATTTAACTGTGCATTTTTAGAGCCGAGTTTTAGCATTTTCTCATAAAATTACCCAACAGGAAACTATTTCTCAAGGTACCATGTTTCATCCGAGCGCACAATCACTGTGACTTTGTAAAGTCGAGCAGCGGAGGAGGCAGGGGAGCTGGTGGGCTATGCAAATGATCTCAGAGTGATTTAAAGCTTTCGTGACTGCAGGGATTCATCTTCTTGGTTCTTTCGGTAAAGTCACGTAGAAGGGAAGTAATAAAATAATAAAAATAAAACATAATAAAATATTATTATATTATTATATTATATTATTAAGTAATACAATAATAAAAAGAAAAATAATAAAATATTATTATATTATATTATTTATTATGTTTTATTTTTATTATTTTATTACTTCCCTTCTACGTGACTTTACCGAAAGAACCAAGAAGATCTCAGAGTGAGGAAGGCCGACAGAGCCAGAAACAACCACACACCAACGATGAAATAAATGTAATCCCGTGAAAAAAATGTATAATAATAATAATATGGATACCTTTACATGGTTAGAATATGCGTGAGGATATCGGGAAGATTTGGTTGGATTATCAACTTCAGTCATGTTCTATCCACTGCTGGATGAAGAACTCCCCCCGTGTTGTGGCCATCCCGTCACGGTCCTGAAACGGCTTCTGCGTTCTGATCCAATCGCTCCATCTCCGTGTTTGTAGTGCCCTTGGTCGTCTTCCCCTACTTAGGCTGCCATTCCATCACCGATTGCGTCCATATTTCTTCGTCCCTTCCAGCGACGAGTCCTGCCCAAAGCCAACTTACTCTTTATTGTCAAGATCATGTCTCCAAGTAGCATTTGTTGACGGATATATTGTTTAATTTTAGTTTTTTTTTTTTTATACTTGTGACCTAGGTCATGGATGAATACAATTCTCATTTGAAATTACTCTATATATTTTTTAATCAATACATTTCCTTCAAGGCTCACCAAAAAAACAGCAAAGTTTCATTGATACTACGCTAAAGGCAGCGTTGCAGTGGGAAGGGCGGCAGAGTGGCACAGTGCTAATGCTCGTGCCACATGGCATCGAAGTTCCTGAGTTCGATTCCTGACTTGGGAGTCTGTCTGTGAGGAATTTGTATTTTTTTCCCCAATTCTGCTTTGGGTTCTTCTGGGTTATCTAATTTCCTCCCATGGCGAAAGCAAAAAAAAAACACAGTTAACCGTTAGTGCTCAAAACATCAAAATGCTGAAAAAAACCATGCAAATTACTCAATTGGTATTTCACACAGGAGCAACACTGCAAAACCTTGGCTCGATCATCCTGAAAAAGAGTGCTGAGAATCAGGCGTGGATTTTTTTTCCGGATAAGCAAGTCTAAATGAATAAATTCAGTAAAAAATGCAGACAGCTATGGATTTTACGATTTTGAACTGGGATTAAATGTTGATGGGAGCAGCGGCGAAGCAAAGTAGCACACTGCACCATGAACCCGGGTGACCCGAGTCCCCCAGTTATGGGTCAGAGTTACATCAGTGGCACGTGATATCTAAGCGGGCCCTGGGCCTCTCCTTCACCGACCCACTCTGACCAGCGAGATCAAGTACAGCCAAACAACCTCCATCACTTGGCACAGCGCGAGAGTGGCGTGTTTCCAGGAGTTGGAAGAACAGGGCTGTCTTTCCTACAGCCCTGTTCTTCACCTGAGGACGGCTGCTTGCGTTGTGCCCAAAACGTCGTGAGAATTGTATTTTACTATTTTTGTATTTTTATTATTTTATTATTTCCCTTCTACGTGACTTTACCGAAAGAACCAAGAAGATGAATCTCTGCCGTCACGAAAGCTTTAAATCGAAATTTAAAGTCCTGTAAATTGTCATTGTGACCTAGGATGTTGGAATCTGTCTTAAGTGTGCAATTTAAAGTTGACCTTTTTCAACACGCAATTTCATAACATACAAACAAAATGTCAACGTTGTTACCTTCATTTACCATTGAAGCGGTGATAACCTGATCACAGCCTTGAATTCGCCATTCCTCTGGCGGGGGTGAGTCTATCCATCCGACAGCCACTGTTGACTTCACCGCGAAGTGGTACTACTCATTTAAAATGGTCCCAGGTGCATGATGAGCTCAGTCAACCCACCTCCCACAATCTAGGATGTAAACCTTTTGTTTGCCAACTAATATGTAGCAAGATTAAAATTTCTGTCGAATGAGAAGGATAGTAGAACTCAGCACCATCAGCTGGCGAGCTCCTCTTAGCTAAGAGGATGACTTTACACGTTCTGAACGAGTGCAGTAACGGATGCACAAAATCACATTAAGCAATTTCCAAAACCCAGGAGGTAAAATGAAAGAACATTCATCTTCACATGCTGGTGTCAGCTGCCAATGAGCCTGACATTTCCCAATTGGAGGTTGCTAATGGTCGCGGGGACAATGGTGGCAATTTACTCCAATTTAAACTCACCCTGTGTTAGCTTGAAAAGGCCACCAGCCCTTAATGAGCACACAATAAATTACATCAGACGCCATAAACGTATTGGCAGAGAAGGCTACATTAGCGGTGGTCCGTTGCCAATGCAGTATAACTAAATGAGTTGTGCAGGATTTCATTCTAAACGGTGGTGATTTGTGGTCCAAGATATTTATGAAGCGTTAATCGCTTTACTTTTAGTGGTGGCAGTGCGGGTTAGTGGACCTCGAGCTCCACTGTGAACCTGGTGACCCGAGTTCAATTCCATGGCCCTGGATAACATCAGCGGTGAGCGATATCTGAACTGGTTCTGGGTTCATCTTCTTGTTTCTTTCGGTAAAGTCACGTAGAAGGGAAGTAATATTTTATTACTTCCCTTCTACGTGACTTTACCGAAAGAAACAAGAAGATGAATCCCTGCAGTCACGAAAGCTTTAAATCGAAATGGTTCTGGGTTCTCCTGTAACCCTATGTAAAGGAGAGCCGACACAAGGTTGCAGGGGGTTCGTCTTGTAATCCTTTCTCCCATCCACACCTGTCCCCAGCCGTCCCAATCTCGTACCCGCCAAAGGCCCCCTCTTTCCGCCCGTTCTCCCCTTATACCGTATCTCCTCGATCACCCCTCCCACTAACCCTCCTATTGGTGGGAATCCTTCCCCTGACACACCTACGTCTACATCGACCCACACTGACCAACCCCAGTGTGGGGAGACCTTCATCCAGCAGTGGAGTTATATAATACATATCATTTACTCATATTTACTGACTTGCTTTACCATTTTCTCGATATTGCACTCCTATCGTTTTTTGTACGGTTTGCTGTTGTGACTTGCTGTGCTGCTGATACTGGACATCTGCAAAAAGAGCTTCTTAGCTCATCGGATTCCGACTGGAGTATAAATAAAGATTCCGATTCGGAGTGACAAAAGAATTCATCAACTGATCACGTTTTTCTTCTTGTTCCATTTTGTGTATTTGGGTCCATTCTTCACACAATGAAGTGGTGGACCGAGAGTTACGGACAGAAAAACAACGAGTGATTGCACGGATGACCAGCGTGGGTGTAGTAGAGACATGGTGAGCGGTACAGGGCTTATATCATCCATTCGAGGTTTTTGGTTTAGGTCGCGTAAATCTATAAATGTGTCGTTAAACCCACCACTACCACCACCCGACACAGCCAATTAGTAAGGTTTGTCACGTAAACAGAACCTGCCAATTCGTCACTAGTACAGCACACCGGTGTGTTGGAGAGCAAAGCCACAACATTTACAATCTGAGTACTGCCAGTAATTACAACCAGCTTCAACAGGCAACAGCCAGATGTGTGGAGAAATCCTCCTGTTTCATTCCTTAAATAGAGGGGTAGATGTGATGACGACACTTGTGAATACTTCTTGAGCGACGTGGGGGGGAGGGATTCATGAATGCACATGAATGACGATGGGTATCCATTGCCGGTTGAGTTATTTATATGGCAATCAACGTACATTATGCATGCACATTTTGCAAGCCCATCGTGGATTACAAAAATGTAATCCACCATTGTTCTACACTACTACACTCCCCGGCCCCCCGGTGCTCCTTTGCAACAAGCCCCATGGATTGACGAAGGGCCGTAGATGATTATTGTTTTGGAGGGGATGACGGTGCGTTGTGTTCTAGTCGCCGGTGACCCAGCGATGGCAGTGGAAAGTCCCGTGAATCCAATTCATGAATCTGCAAATGGTAATTCAATTCGTGCTGGTGGCACACATTTCCACATTAAAAATAAAATGTATTAGTGAAAAAAACAACTAAGTTACAGTGACCTAAAAACCCAAATCCGAGAGAAATAATTTAAATTTTTAAAAAAAGTTCATGAACAGTGAGCTCATCGTCAGCAGCCATTATCACTCCACTGATGGATTAAAGCCTTCCCCAAACCGCCGCCATCTCTCAAGATCTTGCGATGAAGCAACTCCGCTGCACACGAGCTGACGCCGTTGCTCCATCTGCACGGGGTCCTTTCCCCTCGGCTGCAGCTCCTCTCTCAGTCTCGACCGTCCGCCACGGTCCCTTCTGGCTGTGACGCGTCCTGGCCATGCCCACTCACTCACCTCTCACTCACCTCTCTCTCTCTTCTTAGCACTTTGAGTCACGTCTATAACCTGCCTATTTCCTCGAATCCACGCACTCCTCTGCATGGCGAGGCGGTAATCAGGTTTCTAAATCAATCTAACTGCAGCAGAAGCATTCGACGCGATGGGATGCTGTTAAATGCACTTCATTACACACGCAGTGTTCTGTCTTCACCAAACGTAAAACAAATAAACGGCGCGGCCCACTAATTCCCTGCTCACGCCACTGCTGTCAAGAGGGTCCTCTACCAGTTTGAGCTCTCAAGAACCCCATCCATAGAGTATTTGGCCTACACCTCCACGCTGTCCACGCCAATAGATCATCTAGAGCCGGTGACCGCTGGATTGCAACTTTAGTGTGCTGCTAACTGTTGTTACACGACGCCTGTGAAGCCGCAGTGCGCTCCACCACTGTTATACGTTTAAATGCGGCTCCATTGTTTAAACAGCTGCTCTAAAATGCATTTAAAATCACCGCAAAGGTAATTGAAGTGACGGTTTTTATAGGACGCGAATAAAGCGCATATGCTGCAGACATTGCTCTGCTTAGAAATTGGTCTATGAAAACAAATCCATACATTTAAGCGGCCAAATGAATCTGTAATAATTGCAAGGTCTTGCTGCGTATGTAATTATTGGCGCGTGAAGAATACGTGGGCTAGATAAAGTGGGCTGCTAGGTTACACGATGCCTAGAAACGTGGGCATTGACACAAATGTAATTTGAACCAAAACAAATCTGAAAATTGTGCAAAGACTCATGGGGAGGTGTGTCGGCGCAAAAACAAACGGAAAAAAATTACCGGATGGATTCACCAGCATTAGGGAGTCAGAGCCACAAACGTGGATTGGGCAGGCAAAGCCGCTGGGAGCCATAATGGGCGATGGTCGAGACTAGCGGCGGAGTAGCAGCCAAGGCAGAGAGCCGAGAGGAGATGGAGCGATGGAATGAGCTCGTGGGCAGGTGGTGCTCGGTGAAATGTAGCATTGGGAGACCGTTCGGGATGGACACGGCTTGGGGAGGGCTGCGTCCAGCAGTGGATTGATCATTACTGATGTAGATCATTGTTATTATTGCTGTATTTAACATCGCTAGTACCTAACAATAGTAACCGAGCGCATCTTTATGGAGGTTACGGATCAATTGTGGGGCATGCCGGTGACCACACAGCACCAACCTTCGTGTGCCCACCATTTCCGGGGATCACTCAACATTGGCAGATATTTTGATTTAAAGCTTTCGTGACTGCAGGGATTCATATTCTTGGTTCTTTCGGTAAAGTCACGTAGAAGGGAAACAATAAAATAATAAAAACCGCCACTTATTTCTAATTTTCTTGCTGTGGATTTCACACCTGACGACGATTGCATGTGTTGCAGTCGAAACGTCGTGAGAATGTTATTGTTGTACATTTTTATAATTTTATTGTTTCCTTCTACGTGACTTTACCGAAAGAACCAAGAAATCGTCGTGAGAATTTTATAATTTTATTATTTTATTGTTTCCCTTCTACGTGACTTTACCGAAAGAACCAAGAATATTGGCAGATATGTTTAGGCCGAGTCGACCTAAAGGACGGACATAGGGACCACGCCAGGTCGTAGGCAGGGGCGCAGCTGAGTGGCTACGGAGTTGATTACAAACATTCTGCTCAGTTTTTCATATCCACATCGCCACGGATTGCTCAGAGGGAGTCCTGCAACACTCGAATTATATTGAATCTACGCAGGCCTTAAACTTCAGCTGGAGCTGTCCGATGCTGAGTTCTGGGGAAATATTTTCTCCGAGAAATTGCGGCCTGAGTCTCGCCACAACGACTGGCCACTTGACTCGGTTCTGAGCCTACGATTAATTTGGGAGCAGCACAGTCCACAAGCACACGTGCCTCTGTCACCATGTTGATGGGACAAAAACGTGGACTGTATAAATTGTAGGACAGTTGTCCAAAATGCCGTGGCGTGTCTCCGTACCAACATCTAGCACCCGGGGATTCATGTTGTTTTCACAAGATAGAGCTGAGCCCCAGACAGCTCCGGCTGGTTGTCGGACACCCATCACACCCACCAGGTAGCAAGTAGGTAGGTTTTCAGTTTCAGTTTCATTGATTAGGTATAGCCCTGTGAGCCATTCGGCTCTTGAATCGGGTGCAACCGCAACAAACAAAAATAAAAACATCAACAAGAAAACATCTTAAAGTGACTATGTGACTATGTGCAAACAGAAAATCCAAGAATAGACAGCAAAATATTGCAGAAAAAGCACCGTACACCAACGCTCTATGCAAAAATTCCAGTGGGATTCAAGTCAAACAACAACAACAACCACAAGACAACTTAGATTAAGGCCATCAGTCTAACTCCATACTACAACAAACAAACATGGCCAAACCAAAAAAACTTTTCGAAATCACCAAGATAAAGCCATAAGCAATGTAACAGTGATCATAGGAACTGTGACCGAATTTTCACAATAAACGACATAAACAACATGTACCACCACACCCTGCAGCCATAGCTGGCTGCATGAGTCACTCCACAACAGCAGGTAAGTATCTTCTTGGTTCTTTCGGTAAAGTCACGTAGAAGGGAAATAATAAAATAATACAAATAAAACATAATAAAATACAATTCTCACGACGTTTCGGCCACAACGCAAGCAGCCATCCTCAGGTGAAGAACAGGTCTTCAGACGCTGCCTTTCCAACAGACCTGTTCTTCACCTGAGGACGGCTGCTTGCGTTGTGGCCGAAACGTCGTGAGAATTGTATTTTATTATGTTGTATTTTCATTATTTTATTATTTCCCTTCTACGTGACTTTACCGAAAGAACCTCGAAGATGAATCCCTGCAGTCACGAAAGCTTTACATCGAAATTTAGCAGGTAAGTAAACAAGGTAGTAGGAGGTCGGTAGGTGCAGAGGTCGGGACTGCGGGCAGCGCTCCTTACCGCAGGATGACGAACATCACGAGCAGGTTACCGGACACGCCGAGCACGCACACGATCGAGTAGACGGTCGTGATGATGATGGGCATGGCGGAGAGCGGTTGCTGGATGGAGCTCGCGTTGGTCACCGAAAGGTTGAGGCCGACCCTCTCGGCCAGCCACACCGCGGCGTCCACGCAGCCCTGGCTGGCGTTGTTGTTTATGTTGTTGCCGCCGAGGTGGACCGGAGAGTCATCGTCCATGGGCTGAACCTTGAACACCTCCATGATCTCGCCCTGACACGCGTCCTAGAAGACGTCGGGGTAAGGTAAAGGTACAGCCCCTGCAATTGCTCGCTCACGCCACTGCTGGCGGCGTGGCCCCCAGCTCGAGAGAGTTCGAGGAGGGGAGATCCCCTCTGGCGGGGGGGGGGTGGCGTATTTTGACAAACTCTGCTGGCCACACATCTTGGGAGGGCCCACACTTTGCCCCACCGTACGCGCGAGCTGCCGATCGAGTCGCGGTTTATATGTAAATATACTGCTGCGAGGACGGAGGGGTGGGTGTGGGCGGGGGGGGAGGGCTTTAAGAAATGTGCCCATTGTGTAAAATGCCGCACCGGGAGATAGAATCGAACAGGCGACGTTTGCAATTGCAAGTCTTCTTTTTAGGGGGTGGAGGGGGGTCTCTGACCCGGACAGACCCCGGCTGAAATTAAGCGCCCTGGGTCATAAATGACAAAGCACGAGTCTTTCAAGGAGACGTTTTCATTCGTCAATCTGCCAACTGCTCGTTTGGCTCGCTCACAAATGCAAACTTCATAGGCACGCTGAACATGCGATGCGTTCTTGAAGTCGCCTCTTACTTTGACAAAACGTGCGCACGGAAGATGCCATCAAATTCGCACTCACGACGTGGAGCCAAACGCGAGGTCGTTCCCCCGCCTCCTCCTCCTCACCACCACCACGTGAACGTGTGCGGGCGTGGCTTTGTCATTTTATAGGAGTGGCTGAAAGTGCACGTAGCCTGGCACGATCGCCTTGGCGACGTCACCGCCGCTTCGTGGCGAATGGCGGTTGTTGTTGTTGTTGTCGTCGTGCGAGCGTAGGTGTGGCTTGGCCGTCGGAGGTGCTCGCGAACAGCACTTGCTCCTACTGTCTGCTAAGGCTATACGGGGGGCATCTTTATAGGTGTGGTTATGTGCGTGTTCCATTCCCGCTCACGGCCAACACCAGCGACGCCGATCTGAACCGGTCCTGGGCCTCCCCTAGGTCGACTCAGCCCTAATTGAGTACCTGGTGCGGTGCGTAAACATCGCCACTGGGGAGACAACGGCGGCCGAGCGTGGTGCTGGCCACCCACCCCCTCGTGTTCCGTGCCGGTCTTCATCGGAGCTACTCGTTAGCAGCACTTGCCCCAACAGCTTGTTAAGGCTATGCGGGGGATCTTTGTCTGTGCACCTGTGTTAGTACGTGTTGAAGGTCATTGGAGGCATATCTCTACGTGCAAGGTGTGCCTTTAAATCAGTGTCGGTTCGCGGCGCCGATTTGTCCAGGCAAATTATGCCCCCTCGGGATTTCCAGTTTCAGGTGATAACGCGTGCGGATGCAGGCCTCGTTGATAAGGCAGAGGCATCGTGTGATGGTGGTGGTGGTGATCGTTATGCCCCTCGTGCTGGGTCGGGCGGGGGGGCTGTGTGCGTCTGTCTGCTGACGATGAAGCCACTTGCCCAGTGCATTCCAGTTTAGCTGTGGGTCTTCCTTGCGTTGTGCCTATGAGTGGGGAGCGGTAGTGTAGCGGTTAGCGCGCTTCGTCGAGAACCCGACGACCCGAGTTCGATTCCTTCTCACGGCCAACACCGGTGACGATTATCTGAACCGGTCCCTGGGCCTCCCCTAGGTCGACTCAGCCTCAAATGGATACCTTCTGCGATGTGTAAACATTACCACGAGGGGCCGGGTGTGGGGCTGGCTATGGGGGGATCTTTGTCTTTATTCATAAATACATAGGTCGACGAGGATGTATGCGAGTCTATGGCTCTCTGTGTGAGTCTATGAGTCTCTACGTGAGTCTGTACGTGAGTCTGTACGTGAGTCTATGGGTCTCTATGTGAATCTGTGGCTATTTGTGTTAGTCTATGGGTCGCTGTGTGATTGTCGGTCTCTATGTGAGTGTGTCGGTCCGTGCGCTAGCCTATGGGTCTCTATGTTAATCTATGGGTCTCTATGTTAATATCTGGGTCTCTGTGTTAGTCTATGGGTACCTGTCTTGATTGATGTATCTCTGTGAATATGTGGGTATCTGTGTTAGTCGATGGTTATCTGTGAATGTATGGGTCTCTGTGTGAGTCTCTGGGTATCTGTGTTAGTCTGTGGGTCTTTGCGAATCTGTGGGTATCTGTGTTAGTCTATGGGTCTCTGTGTTAGTCTATGGGTATCTGTGAATCTATGGGTCTCTGTGTTCGTCTGTGGGTTTCTGTGTTATTCTATGGGTAATATGTGAATCTATGGGTCTCTGTGTTAGTCTATGGATATCTGTGTTAGTCTCTGGGTCTCTGTGTTAGTCTATGGGTAATATGTGAATCTAGGGGTATCTGTGTTAGTCTATGGGTATCTGTGTTAGTCTATGAGTATCTGTGTTAGTCTCTGGGTCTCTGTGTTAGTCTATGGGTAATATGTGAATCTATGGGTCTCTGTGTTAGTCTATGGGTATCTGTGTTAGTCTCTGGGTCTCTGTGTTAGTCTATGGGTAATATGTGAATCTAGGGGTATCTGTGTTAGTCTATGGGTATCTGTGTTAGTCTATGGGTATCTGTGTTAGTCTATGGGTATCTGTGAATCTATGGGTATCTGTATTAGTCTGTGGGTCTCTGTGTTAGTCTATGGGTCTCTGTGTTAGTCTGTGGGTCTCTGTGTTAGTCTATGGGTCACTGTGTTAGTCTGTGGGTCTCTGTGTTAGTCTATGGGTCTCTGTGTTAGTCTATGGGTCTCTGTGTTAGTCTCTGGGTAATATGTGAATATATGGGTCTCTGTGTTAGTCTATCGGTCTCTGTGTTAGTCTGTGGGTCTCTGTGTTAGTCTGTGGGTCTCTGTGTTCGTCTCTGGGTCTCTGTGTTAGTCTATGGGTCTCTGTATTAGTCTGTGGGTCTCTGTGTTAGTCTGTGGGTCTCTGTGTTAGTCTGTGGGTCTCTGTGTTCGTCTCTGGGTCTCTGAGAAAACTATGCCACACATTTGAGTTGCAGTATCTCGATGAGCCCAGAAGCTGTTGCCGCGTCATCGACTCGAGCTACGCACCGCCGACTGCTGCACGGCATCTGCTGTCCGTGCATGCGTAGGCGCACATGTACGTGCAGCGACGCCTGCACGAATGAGTTCACGTGTTGTCGCAGTTGTGTGTGTGTGGGTGCAGCGGTGAGTGTATCCGCGCGTGCGACAGAGTGCAACGGCGAGTCTAAGCCGTATGTGCAGCAGTGCGTGTATTGGGTTGTGCAGCGGTGTGCGCAACAGATGGTGCATCTGTGTACAGCAGTGAATGTATGCTACGTTCAGCAGTGAGCGCATCTGGACGTGCAGCAGTGTGTCTGATTGTGCAGTAGCGAGTGCATATGGGCGTGCAGCAAGTGGGTGCAACAGTTGGTGCATCTGTGTGTGCGACAGTATTTGTAAGCGCTACAGTGAGTGTAACTTAACTGCAGCAGTGAGTGTGTATGCGAGTGCATCAGTGCCTGTATCTGAGTGTGCAACAGGGTGCAGCAGTATATGTGGGAGCAGCAGTGCGCTCTCGTGCCCATGGGGATGTGTGTCAGTGGGTGAGTGCAGCAGTAGTGCAGCAGCGGTTTGCGCGCTGCTCTACGAGCCTTGCTACGCGGGTTTGATTCCCGCTCACGGCCAACACCATTGACGATTATCTGAACTGGGCCTCCCCTAGAGCGACTCAGCCTTAAATGAGTACCTGGTGTGATGTGTTAACATCGCCACGAGGGAGACAAAGTCGGCCGAGCGCGGCGCTGGCCACCCACTCCCTCGTGTGCCGTGCCGGCCTTCATCGGTGCTACTCCCTAAGAGCGCTTGCCCCAACAGTTTGTTAAGGCTATACCGGGGAACTTTGTCTTTGTGCGCAGCAGCAGTCAGCAGTGGTGAGTGTACTCGTGGGCGCCCAGGTAAGTGAATCTGTTCGTGCACCTCTGTGTGCAGCAGCAGCAGCGAGTGAGTGTACGCGCGCGCACACACACACGCGCAGACGCACGGACGCAGCGTTCCTCATCTCCCCGGGAGGAGCACCCACCTCGATCGCCTCGCGCCGTCTCCTCTCCGCTGCTTGTCGCTCCGCGTCCACCGCCCGCCTCCCCCTCGCCCTGCAGATCGCGCCGGAGCGGCACCGACGCGCGCGCGCGCGTGCCGTCTGCCGTCCTCGTCAATTCATGAGTACGACGATTGACTATTTACTGCAGCTGCAGCTGCTGATGCTGTGGCGTCAGCTACGCTCTGCTCGACGATCAAGCAGAGAGTCGTTGAGAGGAGAGATCGGCGTTGGCGCCGTTCGGTGAGAAGCGAGCAAGGGCGAACGTCTCGATAACAACAAAAACAACAATATTAAGGAGATTCCCGCCGGCGTTAGTCTCCACCGAAACCCGGTGCCGCGGTTTCAACCGAGAAATCCTTTCGCTTTGACAGTTCGACTCGAGGACACGGTCCCTTAACGGCGCAGCGGTGTTCGCGTGTAGATAGCCCCCCTTTTTCTCGCGCCGAACGAAGAAAGAAGGCGAGGGATGGCGGGATTGGGGGGGTACTATATGGGAGGCAGCGGGTCTCCCCTCTCATTCCCTCCCTCCCTCTCTCCCCTCCTCCCTCCCCCACCCCCCATCGCTCTTCATTGGAAGCGCCCGCGCCGCGCAAAGAGCTCAACAACCAAAGATAAAGGTTCCCCCGTGTGGCCCTGGGGCAAGGGTGCTGTTCGCGAGCACCACCTATGAAGGCCGGCACGGCGCACGAGATGGTATGGGTGGCCAACAGCACGGTACCGGCCGCCTTTGTCTCCCCAGTACTAATGTTACACTGCCCATAGCAGGTACTCATATAAGGCTGAGTGGACCTAGGGGAGGCGGGAGGTCCGGGACTGGCTCAAATATTCTCTACAATTTTGGTCGTACGTGGGAATAAAACTCTCGAGTCACTGAGTTGGTAGCGGAGTGCGCTCACCACTGCGCCACCGCTCCCCACCACCACCCTCCCCCACTCGCCCCTCACGTGATTGACACCTGCACGACAGCGTGACCTTTAATTAACGTCGTTAATTATTATTATTAGTCTTGCAGTCAGCGTTAATGCGAATTCGCTTCCTATATATATTAACGTGTGTACGAGTGCGCGTGCGTGACGACGCCCCACGTGCTCGCCACGTGCCCGTGGGACACGAGAGAGGTTTACGAAGCTCGCATTCGGGGCCGCCGCCGCTGCTGCTGCTGCGCTGTGCTCTAGGTCGACTCAGCCTTGAATGAGTACCGGCTGCGGTGTGTAAACATCGCCACTTAGGGAGACAAAGGCGGCCGGGCGGGGCTCTGGTCACCCCCACCACCACGTGTGCCGTGCCGGCCTTCATAGGTGCTACTCGCTAACAGCTCTTGCCTCAATAGTCTGTTTGAGGCTATACGGAGGGTCTTTGTATTTGTGTGGTGTGGATGTGTGTGTGTAGTGTAACAGCGCCGGCTGGTGGACATACAGGCGCCGGTGAGGTTGTGCGAGGGGTGTAGGCGGAGGGAGGAGCTAGGGAAAGGCTCACGGAAGAACCCATCTGGAGGCCCCTAAAACCTGCTAGCGGGTTCGAGAAAAGAGGCACGGGGGAAAGACAACCAACTAGAGACCCATTTCTAAAGACATTTCTCAAAGAAATGGGTCTCTAAAGGAATATACGTTTACGAACCTCCACGTGAGTTTATATCTTAAACCACCAACCACACAAGGCTGCACGTGTGTCCCTGGGTGTCTATGTGCGTGGGTGTCTATGTGCAAAGCATGTGTCCGTGGTGTCTATGGACGTCTATGTGTCCGTGTGCGTTTGGTTCGTTTCTGCCGGAGTGGCCTCCGTTCCATGCGCTCCACGTCTTAATCGCGCGCAAGAAGGGCGACATTAATGATGATGAGGCGATAATCGCCGAGCTTAATGCACACAGCAAAGACAAAGATGCCCCGTATAGACTTAACAGACTGTTGGGGCAAGTGCTGTTCGCGAGCACCTATGAAGGTCAGAACAGCACACGAAGCAGGTTGGGTAGCCAGCGCCACGCCAGACTGCCTGGTACTCATTTGAGGCTGAGTAGACCTAGGGGATGGCCCAGGACCGGTTCATATATTCGTCACCCGATGTTCGCCGTGGACGGGACTCGAACTGGGCAGCGCAGCGCGAACCGAGACGTTGCTCTGCAACCGCTCACGATGAGCATTTTTTGCGGAGATAATTGTCCATTGGTGACTGGGTGGCGTGCCGCACGGCGATATGACGGTGCCATGCGGGCAGCCAGAGGGCTTCAACAATTACCGCGTCGTCGTCGTCGTCAGCAGCTCTAACGCGACGCTTGCGTATTCACGCACAGCTCTGCCCGTGCGGTAGAATTATTCTCGCATATGTGGACGTGCCTGCAAGGTTAGTCAATTTCGATTTAAAGCTTTCGTGACTGCAGGGATTAATCTTCTTGGTTCTTTCGGTAAAGTCACGTAGAAGGGAAATAATAAAGTAATAAAAATCAAACGTAATAAAATAATACATTATTTTATTATGTTTTAAATTTTATTATTTTATTATCTCCCTTCTACGTGACTTTACCGAAAGAACCAAGAAGAGGAAACACATAATTATTCCCGCGACATGAAAGGCGCAATATTGCAGGGCACCTTATTTGCACAGCCATTTATTTACATATAATCGGATGTGCACGCGTACGCTAAATCCTGGTTTACATTTGTGCATGCGTGGTGCGTTTGTGAAGGGTGTTTAAATCAGAGGTTAAGGCGCAGCGCTGAAATGTGTTTCTCACGCCACTGCTCGCGGAAGGGCTCCCACGAGAGGGCGCTCTAGGGAGCAGCCTTCTGTCTCGCTGTTCCGCGTTGGCCAGACGTCTCGCATGTGACAATCGTGGTGAAACGTCACACCGTGTCTGTGTGTGTGTGGTTTGGTAGCGCGATGGTTTGCCAGCTGCGCCACGAAACCCGGCGAAACAGGTTCGATTCCCACTCACGGCCGACACCAGTGACGATTATGAGTATCTGGCACGGTGTATAAAGATCTCACTGGGGAGACAAAAGCAGGTGGTGCTGGCCACCCGGCCCCTGGTGTGCCGTGCCGGCCTTCATAGGTGCTGCTACTCGCTAACGGCGCTTACCCCAACAGCCTGTTAATGGGGGTCTTTGTATATGGGGGCAGCTTTGGCACAATGGTTAGCGCACTGTCCTATGACGCTGGCGACCTGGATTCTATTTCCAGCCGCATCTAAGATCATTGGCGAGTGGTAATTGAGTATCTCTATCGGTCCTGGGCCTCCCATTGGGAGACAACGGCAGTCAAAAGTGGTTATAGCCACACGACCTTGGTCACGTGCTGAGCTGGCCTTAATAGTTGCTCGTTCACAGCGTGTGTCCCAATAGTCTATAAACGGCTATACGGGGGATCTTAGTCCTTTGCGAAGTATGTGAAGTCCCTGTACACGTTGAATTTAATTTGCCACAGCGATGAAAGGGTAGTTAAAATGTCCCATTAGCCCACGCAAATACCAATTTGGTTTTCGTAATGACTGTGTTGCCAAGCTGACGTGATGAACGATGGCAACACTTCACATGCAGTGTTCCGGCTGATCGCTAATGATATCTGCCCGGCGACGCAAGCGTCAACGGATGGCTCTGAGCAAGCGTCACCAACTGGGAGCATCGGAACATCGCGCGGCTAACTCCGACCCTGACGGACAATCGTGGGACCTGCGGTCTCAATTCTCGTAAGCATGAACCGCAGAGCAAGTCCATTGCCACCATTCGCTGACCGCATTCCACAGATGCTCCGAGTGTCTATGCGAGTTTATGTTTTACGGTATGTATGCTGAACTTCTTTCGCACCGTACGTAGCCAACGCAAAAAAAAGTTAACAAACGGGTCTCTCTATGCAAGTCTATAAACCTCCACGCGAGTCGAAATCTTAAACGACAACCCACAGCATCACGGCCACTATGCCCGCTTCGATCATTCAGCGTCACAGATGCTCAACGTGAACATAAATGACGTCACGCGATTTTGGACGATTTTTGACCCCCCCCCCCCTCGTCACACGGCGTCACAAAAAGTCAGAACCCCCCCTCAAATATGACGCCACAAAGCTCTGCTGCCCCCCCCCCCTAAAAAAATGCTTCAAATTGCTTTCAACTATTGTCATTGTGGTGCGTATTTAATGTGGCGCTGCACTCTGATATTATAGGAGAAACCATTTACTAAAAAGTATATTTAATTAAGTAGAGCGTGTTATCTACATTTATTTAAAGTTGAGAATTTTGATGTGACGTCACATTTCTCAAACCACCCCCCCCCCCTCGTCACACATCGTCACAAATGTCTGACCCCGCCCCCCCCCAGGTGCGTGACGTCATTTATGGACGGCCCCTAGAACGTTGCTGATCAACTCCCCACCGCACAGAAGAGAAAACCCAGATAGAAGTTGATGTCATCTGCTGTGAATCGTTAATTGAATGCAAATCTGGGCACGGCAGAGTAAACTGTTGATGGTTGCGTGGAAGTGGAGACGGCACGGGCGACATGGGTGCGTGTCCCTGTGATGTCAGGTTTGAAATGCAATTTGTTTTGCATCATCTGGAAGGACGTGAAAAGTGTAAGGAGAAAAAAAACTAAACATCGAAATCATCAATGTGGATAAAAGCGATCCTTGAAATAGCAGAGATAGCAAATAAATGCATTTTCATTGCGCCCTGCCCCAAAGAACAGACCTTTCGGTACGCATGGGAACTGTCACCAAGCTCAATGTAGTTGCTATTTACTATATTATTTACCAGGGCCAAGCCCCCTGACCTCTGAGCTCTTTTTAAATCCTTTATATTAAGTTCACTTGCGCGCTTGCTTGCGCGCTTACGACCGTGCAAATCTTTCGGTCGTTTTTTAACCCACTTCCCGTGATCCAATCGAGCTGACATTTTGCACACAGACTCGTTGTGCGTGACAATTTATTTTCGTGAAAATTTTTTTCCAAAACTTTACACTTTTTAGGAAAAAATAAATTATATTTAATTACCAATTGCTTAATGGTGGCAGGCAATCATCTGACCCATAGGTGGCAGCCATCTCAAGCCAGAGGACGAGAGGACTCTAGCCGCCACGCATACAAAGGATTTATAGTGAAAAACTTTGTTTTTACGGGTTCATTTTTTTAGAGACAACGTGGCCACACACGGTCGTGGCTTCTATCGTCATCACAGTGGGGAATCACAGTGGCAGCCAAAACTAATCTAAACGCACACATCTCAATGTGGAGCGCAAAACCGGAGGACCCAGAGAAAAGGGCACGCGACCTCCGAATCTACAAGAGACATCGCAGGGGTAGAGATCGAACCCACGTCCTCCTGCGTACCAGGAAAGGAACATTTTATTTCCACCAGGGGCGCCTCATTAATCGTTACGAATAATCTCGAAATAATAATAATGATCCAGATTATTGGCGAAGCCATGATGTAACGAAAGAAAACAGAAGAGGCTTTGAGAACATGACCACAGAAGA